AACCATGCTTGGTGCTCTCCTAAACATAGTAATGTAAGAGAGCTATCCACAGTACCAGTCACAGTAGCATAGTACCAAGCTTGTCTGGATGCTGGAAATAGCTCTCTAATCGTAGTCAAGTGAGTGATCAGACAAGCTATTCTATTCAAAGAGTGATAATTAGCTGTTAATTTACAGAGGTATTATAAGTGTGTGGAGTGAGCACTCTTCTCTAATGGCATTCCTTGTTGTACATCTTCCTGATTAAATCCTTCGGTGTATCAAACTCTAGTCTTTGATGTAATCATAATTTACATTACTACAAAATTACAGTATGCTGTGATTAAATGATAATAATAATGATAAAATATTCTATATACCCTATATTTATGAAGATATTACATAACTAAATAATGCACCAACACAAATTCCATAGAACTGCTGTTTCATCTTACATGTATGCAATACAAATGGTAAATCCAGCAAATGTTATAGTTACATCTATTTTGAATTTTCTGTTCCATAGGATAAATACAAGAGGGCATTGGCTGAGACTGAAAATGTGAGGAATCAAAATAAAAAACAACTGGAGGATATTCGTCTTTATGCTATTCAAGGTTTCTGTAAGGATTTGTTAGAAATAGCTGACATACTGGGTCAAGCCACAGAAAGTGTGCAGAAATCTGAGCTTGACAGCAGCCCTTCATTTAAGTCTCTCTTTGAAGGATTAAAAATGACAGAGTCTCAGTTACTCAAGGTGAGTGATTGACAACATAAAACATTACAATAATAATTGATGATGTGTTCATAGAGAACTGAATGTAAAGATGTGTCGGGTGAAACAACTATACTGTCGAGTGGAAAACCTATACTGTCGGGTGAAACAACTATACTGTCGAGTGGAAAACCTATACTGTCAGGTGGAAAATACCTAAAACAGTTGGGTGGAGCACTGATACTGTTGAGTGGAACACCTATACTGTCGAGTGGAACACCTATACTGTAGAGTGGAACACCTATTCTGTCTGGTGGAACGCCTATTCTGTCGGGTGGAACACCTATTCTGTCGGGTGGAACACCTATTCTGTCGGGTGGAACACCTATTCTGTCGGGTGGAACACCTATTCTGTCGGGTGGAACACCTATTCTGTCGGGTGGAACACCTATACTGTCGGGTGGAACACCTATACTGTCGGGTGGAACACCTATTCTCTGTCTGGTGAAACACCTATTCTGTCTGGTGGAACACCTATTCTGTCTGGTGGAACACCTATTGTGTCGGGTGGAACACCCGTACCGTCGATTGGAACACCTATTCTGTCGGGTGGAACACCAATACCATCGAAGGAACACCTATTCTGTCAGGTGGAACACCTATTCTGCGAGGTGGGACACCTATTCTGCCAGGTGGAACAGCTACACTGTCAAGTGGAACACCTATTTTGTCACTTGGAACAGCTATACTCAGGTGGAACACTTACAGCATCAAGTGGAACACCTATTTTGTCACTTGGAATACCTATACTGTCAGGTGTAATGTAGTTTTATAGCAAATTGACTCTCCGTATTTGCTCTAGGTGTGTTTACGGTAAAATAAGTTATATTATAGTAACCCAGCTTACAATGTGTTTAAGAGGTGTGCTTATACAGCAAATACAGTATGTATTATCTCACTCAGTTTCTCACTACTTTTTACTCACTTGGTTTGCTCACATCCTCCTTTACTCGCTCAGTTTGCTGACGTCCTCCTTTACTCGCTCAGTTTGCTCACGTCCTCCTTTACTCGCCAAGTTTGCTCACTTTCTCCTTTACTCGCTCAGTTTGCTCACTTCCTCCTTTATTTCCTCTTTTACTCGCTCAGTTTGCTCACATCCTCTTTTACTCGCTCAGTTTGCTCACTTCCTCCTTTACTCCCTCAGTTTGCTCACATCCTCTTTTACTCACTCAGTTTGCTCACTT